TAAATTGATTAATAGTGTTTCGTTATTATGTGGACAAATTTGATGAAATCTTTCACCACATTGTGAACAACGATTCATATTATTATCAAAGGGTTCAAAACACATACAATGCACTGCTGATACTATTTTAGATTCGAACATTGAATTGGTAACTTGAGTAATAGGCAATGAGATCTGTCCAAATTCGTACCATCTTTTTAGTCTTTGTCGCAAAAAGAAACTATTTTCAGTTAGTTGTCTAGAACTTGGATTTATTCCAGAAATATTAAGTGCCATATTCATTAAAGCATAAACACCACAATCATTAGAATTTGGTTGTTTTGTTACTTGCCAAATTTGATATTTTATTTGAGGTGTTATGTCAAGTTGTCTTAAATGTGCACTTACAACGCATACTACAAATTTGTTGACTGTTTTTGAATTTAACGAATCGTAAACATTACATAAAATTGTGTTATTTGATGTATATTTAACATTGATGTAAATCCAATGATTACCAATATTGAGAATTTGGTGTAAATCTTGTCCAACAAATGTAAAATAATATTTAGGTTTTAGATATAGATAATTTTGTTGGAAACGATATGAAGATTGAAAATTAAGTATATTATTATTATTAATTTGATTATGAAAAATAACAGCCATTCCATTTGTAATTAGAGGATCGTTAAGCCAACCATCGTTATCCAATCCTTCAAGTATTCTTAGATCACTTGATGTAATATCTTCATAGAGAAATTGATTTGCTGTCTTTAAAAGCCATATACTATTGACAATTTGGTGATCATTTAATTCTGGTTTCTTTGCTGTATCTTCTTGAGATGCTGTAGTTTTGAAATCTTTTATGTTTAAATAAGATTCAATTGTTTCTTGAGATAATTTTTCAAGTTTAACTACAGGTTCTTTAAAGTAGTTATCTTGATAACTTGATGATTCACTTGATTGAGAGTTAATATCAGAACAATTGTCTTTGCAAACATTAATCCAAAATGGTATGTGATAACTTCCATAAAAGTCATATTGATAAACTTTATCTTTTTTATTATTAGTAAAAATATAATCAATTTGACTTTGATAGTTAGTAGTGACAACATTTGATGAGATTAAAGATGTCCAGTTATACACTTTATTATTAATGTCAATTAATGTTTGTCCATTTTTTGAATTATAATCAACATTTAAATCACCACAAATTATTATATGTTCAAATTTTTGCAATTTTTTTGCAATGTCTTTAAATAAGTTTGTAAGTGTTTTGAATGGAACTTTTGACGACACATACATACCCACAACAGCAATGTTAACAAAACTTGCACATGATATTTCATAATGCCATTTAGGATTACTATTGTTTTTCATTAATGAAAATACGATAGATGTATTTAAAGATTCATTAGCATATATAGCAACGCCTCCATGTGTTATTGTTAAATTATCAGAGTAAACATGACTGATTGCTGCCAGTTTTACAATATTTGATAATAAATTATGATCGCGTTTTGCTCGTGTTTCTACTAAAATTAACAAATCAGATGAATTTATGTTTTCATCTGATATTAAATCTAACATGTTTTTGTCTAACGATTGAACATTTAAATATGTGATTGCGTAGTCCTTTTTTGTAAATAATTTTAAAGGAGTTATTGTTAGTTCTAATTTTGATTCTAATTGTAATCTTTCTATTTCTTTAAAAATTTCGAAATCACTTTGTTTTGGTTTGAGATTTTCAATCAGTGTAAAATCTCCATCTAAGTACAATCCATTTATTGATGTTACTCGAGAACATGCGGTATAAATTAATTCTCGAGGTAAGTGTTTTGTAAGGTTAACAGTAACTCTTTCAAAAGTTGATCCTTGACTTTTATGTATAGTCATAGCTTCACAACAAACAAGAGGAAACTGTGTTCGGGTTACGTTAACATTAATAAAACCTTTAATTTGAAAATCTTTTTTTATAGGTTCAATTGGAGTCCAATTATCAGGAATAGAATTTATTTTCATGTATTCTTTGTATTTCTTACGAATTTGAAATCCAGAAATTTTAGGAAACTGTATCCAAATTCTTTTAATATTTGTTGTACATATGTCTTCATCAATTCGCATCAAAATACCAAATGCACCATTGAATAAACCATCTGAGACATCAATATTGCATGTAATCATGTATTTCAGTCCAATTTTAAAACGTATTTCTTTTAATAAGCCATATGAATCTTGGTATGACATCTTTGCTAATTTATCTAATACTTTATTTTTTTCATTATTATTTTGATATCCATTAATATCGTCTTTAGCATTATTTGTAAATAAATTGCCATTCTTTTCTTCGATTGCTTTGATATTATGCATTGCAACATCTTTATTAGTATAATAAAGACAAACTGAGTCATTTTTAAATGAATCATTTATATTAAAGCGCAATTTAAGTAAACTAATATCATTATTAGTTAAATTAGCTTTTGCTAATCTATTCAAGCAGTTAACAAATTCAATATCTTTTTGTCGTATAACGGTTACTAATTCATATGATTTAAATTCTCTCCATAAATAAGGACCAATTAAAGCGTTATATGAATCTTTTGATTCTTTAAATGGCCATCCACCACCAACTGGTTTAGCTTGATGTAAATCTCCAATTAATAGGATTGAAATTCCACCAAATGGTAAGGTATTTTGTAATATTTCTTTTAATCGTTTGTCGATCCAACTAAAAATTTTATTACTACAAAGACTTATTTCATCAACTACTAAAAGTTTTAAATCTTTTAATTTGCAACGCATTGTATTGGCTGAATCTGCAGACAATTTACTTAAATTTCCACCTGTTAGTTGTTGATGTGGAAATGCTAGTGCCGCATGTAATGTAATTCCATCAACATTCCATGCAGCTTTTCCTGTGTATGCAGTAATTAATATTTTAATGGAACTTAAATCTGTCCCATGTTGCGAATTTATGTAACGAAGAATTGATTGATAAATGCATTTCAAAACATGACTTTTACCAACACCAGCTGATCCCATTAAAATTATATTAAATGGTGTTTTGCCAGTTTTAAACCGATGTAAAATATCCATAGTAATGTTGCGTTGTTCAGTATTTAAAGATTTCATCATTATTTTGTACTGTTCTTCATCAATTAATTTAGGAACAGTTATTTTTTCGATGTAAGATTTACTAGAACTTTCGTCACTTATTTCTGTTTCATCAAATATATTAGCTATAGGAGATCTAATTGTCAAAATTTCATGTTCCTTAGATATTTCTTCATTGTTAGAAAATTCATTTATATCACTTTCATTGATTTCTTTCTCATTAATAAATACAGCGTTAAATAATTCCGTTTCCAATAGCTGAGGGTCAAATAGTTTCAAATTTTCTTTAATGATATTTATTTGAGAGTCGTATATATCTTTGCATATGTTTATTTTTAGATCTTTCTCTTCATCATTCCAAGGATAAAATAACATAACCATTGATCGATAATAATTACTTGGAGAAGTTTTCTGATTGTAATTTATATAGCGAATAATTTTCATCTTTTGTCTTTTTTTCATAAATCCCATATTATTTTGAAGAGTTATAATATTAGGTAAAAAACTTTTAATATCACTATCATTACTTGATTCTTCTTCATCATCATTATCATCATTAACATAATTTCGCTGTTTTAAAGATAGTGTTTTGTAATATGTATATGATGCTGCAAATTCAGCTAAACACAAATTATTAACTTTTGAATCACTTAAAGGTCTTGCCATATAATGATCTAAAAGACCTTTATATGAAATATCTTTTGAATCTTTAGGCAAATCCTCCAATTCTTTGCGTGATTTTAGCATTTGATATCTTTCATTAGGTGGGCCATTATTTATAAATATAACTATTCTTGACATTCGGGAAATATCCATACTCAACGCATGATAAACAGCTTCTTGTGCAGATATTTCTGTACCATTTACTAAAGTATTGGCTAAATGTCTAACTTGTTCTTGAATTGTTTTGTTGCCTTTTTTAGCCTCTTCTGATGCTTCTTTTAACAACAATGACATTCCACGCATTGATTTACTTATATAAGCACATAGGTATTTAACACATGCATAAGGATGAAGACAATACTGAATATCAATGTTTGCACGCCATTGTTTAAGCCAAAGTGTATTATACGCGTTAATGTTAACAGCGTTTGGTTCGCGTTTTAAAAATATTTCTTCACGTTTAATAGACGATCTAATTGCATTAATGTAATCTGAATATGATAAATTTATCATTTTCAAAAAATTATTAAAAGACATATAATCTATAATTGATTTGTTTTCATTTTTATCAAATGACTGTATTATCTTTTGTATAGATTCAAAATTCTCTTTATGTTTCTTTTTATCTTTGTCTGAAATATCTTCATCCAATGGTTTCAAAATTTTTGTCTCTTTCATTGGCGGCATAGGAAATCTATACCGACATACATTTTTGACTTTAAGACAATTTTCTTTATGCCTATGAATTTGCACAGAGTTAATTAGTGTTGTTGTACCTTCATCAACACATAATGTATCGTCAATATTGTCATTTTCAAAATAAGCTATTGTTGAAGTAGTTGTAATTTCATCAATAAAGTTTACAACATCGTTTTCTGTATTTTCTTTAGATTTGTCATATTTTGGTGCGTCTTTTATCCAAAGAAGACCATGAATGTGTGGTGATCCTCTGTGTTGAAATTCCACTCGATAATAACTTTCAATCACTCGTTTGTTACCAAAAGCTAAACCAGGTTTAATAATTATATTAAAAAAATTTCGAAATCTGTGTTCAAAGTATCTGCTTGAAGTCACAGGGTCGCGTTGAATTAAATTTAATTTGTCATTTCTTTGTAAATTATGAGCTTCTTCTATCGTTAACTTTACATTATTTAAAACTTTGCTCAAAATCACAAGTAATTCATCCCATGAAGCTTCGGCGGCAGATAAAGTAAAAAATAAAGTAGGCAATCCCAATTGTCTTATCATTGCAATTGTTTCATCACGTTTTTTTCCCAATACGAAGGACTTGTTCTTAATTTAGAAATGCTTTTGAAAGCTTTATCGGATGCTATAGCTTGATTAACTTTAATGTTGTCTAATGCATCATTAGCAGACCATTCGGATTGTCCTTTTATTTTTCTTTTAAAAATATTTGAAGCACTTGTAGCTTCATACCATTGTTTTCTTTTGAATGTGAAAAAAAGATATGGTATATTTTCAGCGCATCGGCGATCATATCTTCTTAGTTCTGATTTTGCAAAATCTGTTACTGTAAATCGCATTGTTTTAGTGACTAAAGGCCTTTCATTGCCAGCAAACAATTTTGGATATGCTAATGAAGCTGCGTTAACGTCAATTAAAACATTTAATGGCTTTTTCCCTTCTCCAGGTGCGTAGGCTACTCCAATTTGTTGATCATCATTATCTAAAAGAGTGTCTAAACAACCTACTATATCTGATTCTTCATTTTCAAAACTATTTTGTTGATCATCTTCTGCATCACTAGTTTTAGAAAAATCATTAGGAAACCGTATAAACCAATCTTTTTTAAGTTTAACACCAGCATTTTTATATGCATTTTGATTAACTAAAAAATTAAGTGCTTGTCGAAGTTCATGTGGTCTAACAGTTTTATACAAATCATCGATTTTTAATTTGTCTGGGTCTTTAATACGTCTTTTTAATTGTACTCTTATTATGTGTAAGTCATCATCAAGTCTCGGAAGTAACGGAAGCATTGCATTAGGATCTACTGGAACATTTACTACATTTCCTTTCATTTTATATTGTCCACCTTTTGGCAAATGTAGTATTGTCTCAAATATTATTCTTGCTGACACCATTCTTTCTTCTAAATCATTAAGTTTTTGAATACAATCAGGAATTTCAGGAAACATTAATCCGTGTGATAAAGCAAGACGAGGAACTTTTCCTTTTGATATATCTTGAAAACAAGTATTGCAAAACTGACAGTTCTCTCCCACATTAAAAAAATCGACTAAATCTTTGTCATTTTTGTTTAACTTTATGTTATTTAGTATATTATATGAACGGACTTGGGTCTTAAACCATAAACAACCACAACATGAACACATTTCGGTTGGACCCATAAACTTTGCTTCTTCAAATTTTTCTAAATTTTTGAGTATTTTTTTATTTTTTCGTTTTTCTGCCATTTTTATTTTATTATCTTCTCTTTCACGATCGCGTAATTCTGGATTTTTAAGACGTTTTTCAGCCATTTTTATTTTATTGGTTTCTCTTTCACGATCGCGTAATTCTGGATTTTTAAGACGTTTTTCAGCCATTTTTATTTTATTGGTTTCTCTTTCACGATCGCGTAATTCTTGATTTTTAAGACGTTTTTCAGCCATTTTTATTTTATTGGCTTCTCTTTCACGATTGCGTAATTCTTCATTTTTAAGACGTTTTTCAGCCATTTTTATTTTATTGGCTTCTCTTTCACGATCGCGTAATTCTTGATTTTTAAGACGTTTTTCAGCCTTTTTTATTTTATCGGCTTCTCTTTCACGATTGCGTAATTCTTGATTTTTAAGACGTTTTTCAGCCATTTTTATTTTATTGGCTTCTTTTTCACGATCGCGTAATTCTTGATTTTTAAGACGTTTTTCAGCCTTTTTTATTTTATCGGCTTCTCTTTCACGATCGCGTAATTCTGGATTTTTAAGACGTTTTTCAGCCATTTTTATTTTATTGGCTTCTCTTTCACGATCGCGTAATTCTTGATTTTTAAGACGTTTTTCAGCCTTTTTTATTTTATCGGCTTCTCTTTCACGATCGCGTAATTCTGGATTTTTAAGACGTTTTTCAGCCATTTTTATTTTATTGGCTTCTCTTTCACGATCGCGTAATTCTGGATTTTTAAGTCGTTTTTCAGCAATTCTTTCTTTTTCGACAATATTTTTCCGTCTTTTATTAGTTTTTTTTTCATCGTCTTCCAAATCAGGCATGTTAACTAAAAATATAATAATAATTTAACAAATATATATAATTTACAATGTAAAATATAACCATATATAAGATTATTATATAGTTAATATTTTTAATAAAATTATAGATAATTTTTAATTAATTGTAATTAATTAATATTACCTTCAGCTGCTGTCTTCGATGTCACGACAATAAATTAAAATTTTCTTACAATTTTCACTGTATTAATATTATTTTATGTGATGACACAATGTTGATGCAATTACTAAAATCACACAAATAGCAAATAAAAAACAAATATTAATAATTAGTTTATATAAAAAAGATTTAATTAAGAAATAAATTTGACTTACACGTTGTCCCTTCGATGGCTCGACTTGAACTGAGACTTGAAATAATAATTTCACTTTATTTAAAATTATTAAATGTTGACGAAATATTAATGTTGACGCAATATTAATGTTGACGCAATATTAATGTTAACGCAATTATTAATGTTGACGCAGTTATTAATGTTGACGCAATTATTAATGTTGACGCAATTATTAAAATCACACAAATATCAAATAAAAAACAAATATTAATAATTATTTTATATAAAAATAATTAAATTTAATTAAGAAATAAATTTGATTTACATGTTGTCCCTTCGATGGCTCGACTTGAACTGAGACTTGAAATAATAATTTCACTTTATTTAAAATTATTAAATGTTGACGAAATATTAATGTTGACGCAATATTAATGTTAACGCAATTATTAATGTTGACGCAGTTATTAATGTTGACGCAGTTATTAATGTTGACGCAATTATTAATGTTGACGCAATTATTAAAATCACACAAATATCAAATAAAAAACAAATATTAATAATTATTTTATATAAAAATAATTATATTTTATTAAGAAATAAATTTGACTTACATGTTGTCCCTTCGATGGCTCGACTTGAACTGAGACTTGAAATAATAATTTCACTTTATTTAAAATTATTAAATGTTGACGAAATATTAATGTTGACGCAATATTAATGTTAACGCAATTATTAATGTTGACGCAGTTATTAATGTTGACGCAATTATTAATGTTGACGCAATTATTAATGTTGACGCAATTATTAAAATCACACAAATATCAAATAAAAAACAAATATTAATAATTATTTTATATAAAAATAATTATATTTTATTAAGAAATAAATTTGACTTACATGTTGTCCCTTCGATGGCTCGACTTGAACTGAGACTTGAAATAATAATTTCACTTTATTTAAAATTATTAAATGTTGACGAAATATTAATGTTGACGCAATATTAATGTTAACGCAATTATTAATGTTAACGCAATTATTAATGTTGACGCAGTTATTAATGTTGACGCAATTATTAATGTTGACGCAATTATTAATGTTGACGCAATTATTAAAATCACACAAATATCAATTAAAAATTAAATATTAATAATTAATTATTAATATATTTAAAATAATTATATTTAATTAAAAAATAAATTTGACTTACATGTTGTCCCTTCGATGGCTCGACTTGAACTGAGACTTGAAATAATAATTTCACTTTATTTAAAATTATTAAATGTTGACGAAATATTAATGTTGACGCAATATTAATGTTAACGCAATTATTAATGTTGACGCAGTTATTAATGTTGACGCAATTATTAATGTTGACGCAATTATTAAAATCACACAAATATCAATTAAAAATTAAATATTAATTATTAATTATTAATATATTTAAAATAATTATATTTAATTAAGAAATAAATTTGACTTACATGTTGTCCCTTCGATGGCTCGACTTGAACTGAGACTTGAAATAATAATTTCACTTTATTTAAAATTATTAAATGTTGACGAAATATTAATGTTGACGTAATATTAATGTTAACGCAATTATTAATGTTGACGCAGTTATTAATGTTGACGCAATTATTAATGTTGACGCAATTATTAAAATCACACAAATATCAATTAAAAATTAAATATTAATAATTAATTATTAATATATTTAAAATAATTATATTTAATTAAGAAATAAATTTGACTTACATGTTGTCCCTTCGATGGCTCGACTTGAACTGAGACTTGAAATAATAATTTCACTTTATTTAAAATTATTAAATGTTGACGAAATATTAATGTTGACGTAATATTAATGTTAACGCAATTATTAATGTTGACGCAGTTATTAATGTTGACGCAATTATTAATGTTGACGCAATTATTAAAATCACACAAATATCAATTAAAAATTAAATATTAATAATTAATTATTAATATATTTAAAATAATTATATTTAATTAAGAAATAAATTTGACTTACATGTTGTCCCTTCGATGGCTCGACTTGAACTGAGACTTGAAATAATAATTTCACTTTATTTAAAATTATTAAATGTTGACGAAATATTAATGTTGACGTAATATTAATGTTAACGCAATTATTAATGTTGACGCAGTTATTAATGTTGACGCAATTATTAATGTTGACGCAATTATTAAAATCACACAAATATCAATTAAAAATTAAATATTAATAATTAATTATTAATATATTTAAAATAATTATATTTAATTAAGAAATAAATTTGACTTACATGTTGTCCCTTCGATGGCTCGACTTGAACTGAGACTTGAAATAATAATTTCACTTTATTTAAAATTATTAAATGTTGACGAAATATTAATGTTGACGTAATATTAATGTTAACGCAATTATTAATGTTGACGCAGTTATTAATGTTGACGCAATTATTAATGTTGACGCAATTATTAAAATCACACAAATATCAAATAAAAAATTAAATATTAATAATTAATTATTAATATATTTAAAATAATTATATTTAATTAAGAAATAAATTTGACTTACATGTTGTCCCTTCGATGGCTCGACTTGAACTGAGACTTGAAATAATAATTTCACTTTATTTAAAATTATTAAATGTTGACGTAATATTAATGACGCTTGAATTCAAATTAACCTCTACTTTATTATAACATAAATAACAAACACATTTATTATAAATTAAAAAATATTCTTTATTTATATTTGTTAATATTCATACAATATTAAAGTGAAAGAAATAATAAAGTAATTAAGAAATTTTTTTTTAATTATTTTTAAAGTTAATCATTAGTAATAAACAAATCCAAATAGTATTAAAAATGAGAATATTGTTTTTTATATGAAATTACATAGATTAATAACAATGGATGTAATAACAATGCTTTAAATATCATTGTTAGTATTAATATTGTTTAATATATCTTCAATATCGTCATCCATTTCATCATCTGATCCATTTTCTTCTTCAAAATCCATTTCTGATGAAGTTTCGTCAGAGGTTTCGTCAGAAGTTTCGTTTGATGTTTCTTCAGAAGATTCAGAAGCATTAATTTCAAGAGAAACATCAATGACAAGTTGATTTAAAACATCATGAACTATTTCTTCAATACTCATAACTTGACCATAATTATTAAATTCAATATTTTGAAGGCTTTCATCAAATTCTTCGTCAAATATTTGTGTTATATCAATAACATCACCGTTATCATCAAATTCTATATTTGCAAGAATTGCATCTAATTCATCGTCAAAATCTTGTGAATCAGACATACTTATTTATCTATTAAATAATTAAAAATAATAATTATATAAAAATAAGACGTTTTTAAATTATAATATTACTTACGACTGATCTGTCCGATAGCTCGACTTCAAATGACTTGACTTAATTATTACTTTATATAACAATAAAATGTTGACGTAATAATAATGTAGACGCAACAAAAAGGTAATCACATAAATAAAGAAAATATTGTATTAATATTTACATTAATTATGAATAAAGATAACTAATTTAAATTTATAAATATTTTATAATACTTACGACTGTTCTCTACGATAGCTCGACTTCGAATGACAGATTTCAAATGACTTGACTTACAATTATTACTTTATATTACAATAAACTGTTGACGTAATAATGTTACGAAATAATAATGTTGACGCTACTTAAAGGTAATCACAAAAATAAAAAAATAATATTTACATTATTTATGAATAAAAATAACGAATTTATAAATAATTTATAATACTTACGTCTGTTCTTTCCGATAGCTCGACTTTAAATGACAGATTCCAAATGACTTGACTTACAATATCTACTTTATATGACAATAAAATGTTGACGAAATAATAATGTTGACGAAATAATAATGTTGACGCAATAATAATGCTTACGCAATAATAATGTTGACGCAATAAGAATATTTTTATTATTATTTTGAAGATATAAAAACGATTACAATTTTTTTATTTGAAAATAATTTATAAATTAAATTTAAGCAAACATTTAGCAAAATTTTTTATATTTTAATAATTAGTTATAATATTATAAATACATTAATTAAATTTTTATAAGTAATTTAAAACAAATTAATTGTTATTGCTATTATTAATGATATCTATCATTTCTTCAACATCGACATTCATTTCATCATCTGATTCGCCATCTTCTACAATTTCCATTTCATTTGAATTTTCCTCAAACTCTTGGGCAGATGTTTCTGATTTGTTGTCATCAGTTTCCATAGCAATATTATTGACAAGTTCATTTAATACGTCATTGACTATTTCTTCTAATGTCATAATTTGACCAAAATTATCAAATTCAATGTTTTCAACACTTACATCAAATTCGTCGTCAAATATTTGTGATTCATCAATCACATTACCGTTATAGTCAAATTCAATGTTAGCAAGAATTACATCTAAGTCATCGTCAAAATCCATTGATTCGGTCATTTTTACTGTCATTTTTATTAAATATAAAAATTTTAATAAATTATATAAAATACTTAATATTGCCTCTTGTCTTCAATAATTTTATAATAAATGAATCTTAACTTTTTAATTATAAAATAAACTTTACTTACATGTTAACTCTTTGAAGTCTTGTCTTGAACTGAGCCTTTAATAATAACTTCACTTTTTTA